GATGGAGTTTCACCATGTTGACCAGGATGGTCTCGATCTCTTGACCTCGTGATCCACCCGCCTCGGCCTCCCAAAGTGCTGGGATTACAGGCTTGAGCCACTGCGCCCGGCCAAAAAATTTTTTAAGTAAAGAAAGAAAAGGCATCTAGGGCTGGAGGAAGCTGGAAAAAGACAAGGAACTAGGGAAGCAGCCACCCTAGACGGCCCCTACTCACCTTGACCCTGAAAGGGCAGCGGGTCTGGTCCACCAGCATGATGTTCTCGGGCTTCAGATCGGCGTGGATGATCGCCAGCTCCTTGAGCCGGGCCAGGGCTCGGAGCACCTGCAGGGTGACTGTACGGATGTGGCAGGCAGGGAGGGGCGCGAAGTTGTTCTCCTTCTGGAACTCGAACAGGTTTTGCTCCAGCAGCTCGAAGACCAGGTAGAACTTGAGGGCGTCGTGGAAGAACTCAAGGAAGCGGATGACATGGGCCTCCTCGGGGTCCAGGCCCCGCATGCAGCGCAGCAGCTTCAGCTCGTTCTTGATGATGCGGTTGCGGTAGGCGTCATTCTTGAGGATCTTGATGGCCACCATCTCACCCGTGCTCCGCCGCCAGCCCTTGGCTACCTCCCCAAAGGTGCCTTTGCCCAAGACCTCGATGATGTCGTAGCAATCAGTCTCTGACTGGATGGTGGCCATGGTGTCCCTGCTGCCGGACACCGCCCTGCCCAGGCCCCTGCGCCACTGGCTCCGCCGCCAAGGCCTCCGACACCACCGGCCCCCCAGCGGGGGAAAGAGAACCGCACTCGTGCCTTCTCCTGTGAGGTTGGCCCCTGCTTCCCTGACACCCCCAGAGCCCTTGGCCACACTGTGAGTCTGCCAGGGCCTACACCCAGAACCCACCCAGGTCTCCTGCTCCCCTAAAGCCTTCCTGGCTTGGTACGAGGGGCCCTGGGCCCCCCGAATGGGTTTCAGCGTTGTTGAGTGGCTCTGGTGTTCTGTTGTTGGAGACCTGAGTCCTGGCTGGAGTGGGGGTGGGGTACCAGGCTGGGCCCCCTCCCCCGCCCAGTGGCGGAATCTTGCAAGGACCAAACAGGTGAAGCGTTGACAGTGGGGAGTATGATTGGAGGCCTTGGGCAAAAAGGAATGGGGATAAGGCAGAAGTGAGGAAAGTCAGGCTTCTTAAGCTCCGGAGATGTGATGTGCGTGTGTGTGTCTGTGTTCACAAACCCCTGTCCCAGCCTGTGGCTGCCATAGGGTGAGGTTGTAAAAGGCCCTGAATGCCAGGCTAAGGAGTTTGGACTTTGTTCTGAGGGCACTGGGGAGCCACAGAGGGCTTTGAGCAGGGGAGGGCAGGGTCAGATATGAGTGTCAGAAAGTTACAGTGTGAAAAAGGATAGGTTGGATCGGGTAAGAGTGGAGGCCCCAAGCCTGGGAAAGAGTCCAGGGCAGGGCAGAGATGGGAGAGGTCAGGGAGGAGAGGAGGAGGCCAGTGGATGGGACACCAAGGAGGCCAGGAGGACCGGCCGTGAGACTGACAGGTGGGGGGAAAGAAGGGAGCTATCCAGGCCCAGACCCAGGCCCAGGGCTCTGGCATGAAGGGGCAGTCATCAAGAAGTGAACATGGATAAGGAGCAGATTGGGGGAGATGTTGAGGCCAAATTAGAAAATGTATTTGTTTTTGACTGGGCATAGTGGTTCATGCCTGTAATCCCAGCACTTTGGGAGGCCGGGGCAGGTAGGCGGATCACGAAGTCAGGAGATTAAGACCATCATAGCTAACATGGTGAAACCCTGTCTCTACTAAAAATACAAAAAATTAGCCAGGCGTGGTGGCACGCACCTGTAATCCCAGCTACTCATGAGGCTGAGGCACAGAATCACTTGAACCTGGGAGGCAGAGGTTGCAGTGAGCCGAGATCGCGCCACTGCACTCCAGCCTGGGTGACAGAGTGAGACCCTGTCTCGAAAAAAGAAGAAAGAAAATGTATTTATTTTTATTTATCTTTTTATTTTTTTGTAGAAATGGGGTCTCACTGTATTGTACATGCTGGTCTTAAACTCCTGGCCTCAAGTGATCCTCCTGCCTCGACCTCTCAAAGTGCTGGGATTGTAGGCATGAGCCACCACTCCAGCCAGATTAGAAAACTTAACATCAAAACATTTAAACCAGGATGGAGGGCTTTAGAAGTCTTATCTGATCCTTACAACATGCAAAGTAGGGATTTCATGGAAGAGAAAACCAAGGCACAAAGAAGTTTTTGTAAATGCCTGGCCAGGAGCAGTGGCTCATATCTGTATAATCCCAGCACTTTGGGAGGCCAAGGCAGGCAGAACACCTGAGATCAGGAGTTTGAGACCAGCCTGGCCAACATGACGAAACCAAATACAAAAGTTAGCTGGGCATGGTGGTGCACACCTGCAGTCCCAGCTACTCGGGAGGCTGAGGTCAGGAGGCTGAAACAGGAGAATCGCTTGACCCTGGGAGGCGGAGGTTGCTGTGAGCCAAGATTGCACCATTATACTCCAGCCTGGGCAATGAGTGAGACTCTGTCTCGAAAAATAAAAATAAAAAATAAAATAAAATAAAATGCCTAAGGTTACCCAGGTGACTGCCAGAGACAGCCTTTGACCCTGAGCAGCCCAGCTTCAGCACCAGGCTCTGAACCATCACCCACACAACCTCCTAATGACCAGGAGACCTCCAGGAGAGGTGTGGGTCCCTAGGGGGTTGCAGGAGAGAGTTTGGGAGTTGTCAGCACAGAGAGGAGGTGTGGAAGCCATAGGGGAGGGTGACGCACCCTAGGAGGGTGTTGGGGTAGACAAGGGCCCCGGAGGAGCCCCAAGTGCCCAAGGAGAGAGAGGTATGGGGAAGAGAGGAGCAAGTGTCAGGAAGATCGATGGGGCCTTGAGAAGTCACGACGAGAGAGACAAAGGAAACCCTCAGGCGTGGCCATGGAGAGGCCACTGCTGACACGGACAAGGTAGGAGGAAAACCCCAATGCTGGGATCTTGGAAATGGGTGTGCACTGTGAGTGTAGATAACTCCCACCATGTCTGGTGGGGGCGAAGAAAAGGTGTGTGGTGAGGCAGTGACCTGAAGAGGGCCAGCTTGAAGGGACAAGGTACTCAAGTGAGTGCGGGAATCCGCCAGGCCCCTTATCCGCTGAGACAGGAGAGGGAGATGTGAAGAGCATGGGGGTGCTGTCGGGATGAGACTTGGGACTGGATATCGAGTCTCCTTAGTCCAGGTGGGATATCACAGAGAGATGTGGAGGAGGCTGGAGGCCCTGGTGGGGACCCCAGGACTCAGATCCTGAATCAGGATGGCAGGGATGTGGTAGGTGGTCCCTGGGAGCTGAGCACTGACGGGTGCTGAAGACCCTAGGACCTAGTTCCAAGAGGCAGCTGTGTGTTGGTGGTGGAGGCTTTGGACCCAGAATCCTAAAGAGGGGAACAGAAGCGCCCTTCCTGGGTGGGGCGGGAGTGGATAGGCCGTCAAACCAGCCAGACAGGAAAGAGAAGGCCAGGATGTACAGAAGTGCCCTCACCAGCAGAGGGCAGGTGGGGAGCAACCAGCCTGGTAGGCGGGGGTCCCCCAGAACAGGCCAGCTCCCTGGCAGAGGGGTCCCGAAGCTGTGCTCTACCAGGGAAGGTCCCAGAGTCCTCTTCAACAGCCCCTGGGAATTCTCAAGGGCTAGGGAAGTCTCCACTCCCACCAGGGCCGGCCGAAGGCCACACTGACTGTTGTTTTTGTTGAGACAGCCTGGCTCTGTTGCCCAGGCTGGAGTGCAGGGGCACCATCACGGCTCACCGCAGCCTCCACCTCCCAGGCTCAAGCCATCCTCCCACCTCAGCCTCCCAAGTAGCTGGGATTACAGGCACAGGCCACCATGCTTGGCTAATTTTTGTATTTTTTCTAGAGCTGAGGTTTCCCTATGTTGCCCAGGCTGGTCTCAAACTCCTGGGCTCAAGCAATCCTCCTACCCTGGCCTCACAAGTGCTGGGATTACAGGCATAAGCCACTGCACCCAGCCTGCCTGACTCTTCTCAGACCAGATGTGACCTGTTTCTTCCCTGACACCAGAGGGTCCCCTCAGGCCAGGCTCAGGTGACTCCTAAAACCTCTTCTTTGGCGACTGCCTTCTCTGCATCTCCCCTACACCCACTCCCGCCCTCCCGCTATGCACACAGAGGAGATGAACACATGGCTACTTCTGGATTACTTTATTCACGTGGCTTGTGGGATACACACACCCCTGCCAGTGAGACAGGAGTAGGCCTCCCCACTAGCCCTGGTCAGTCGCCCACCTCCTGGCCCTCTTAGGGTTAGTGCTAGTTATCACACACACAACGGGGGGGAGGAGAAAGGAAGGCAAGAAGGGAGTCTCCATCTGCCCAGAGGCTTCACACGGCCGCAGCCTGAGCCCCCTCCATCCTGGCTGGGCCTGAAGCCCCTGTCTCTGAAAACCCCACGCTGGGCAGCTGCACCCGGAATCCACCCTCTTCCTGGTCTCCACTCCCACTCCGGGCCTTGGGGCTTAGGGACACCCTAGGGAAGTGGAACTTTGGGGACTTCTCTCTCACGGGGGACTTGGGGGCTGCATTGCCCTCCTGTCCTCGAGAGGCTTTAGAAGGGGCCACCAGGCCTACGCGTGGCAAGCGGACCCGGCCCCGGCCCCGGCGTCCCAAGGCCCCTTCCCCACTGCCCTCTTCCTCCTCCTCTTCCTCGGGGCTGGGGGAGCCTTCCCCAGTGACCGTCTCACTCTGGCTGAAGCCCACTCGGGGCAGCCTGAGTTTGGGGCTCTTGGCCTTGTCACCCTCCTCGGCCCCCTCCTTGGCCCGAGCCAGGCCAAACCGGGGCAGCCGCACCTTGAGCTTGTGTCCAGCCTCCCCCTCCCCATCTGCCACCTGGTACTCGGCATGGTTGCCCCCAGGTGGTGAGAGCTCCACATCGGGCAGTGAGAGGCGGAAGGTACGCTCGGCCCCTGGGGGCTGCTCCTCAGCACCCTGGCCCCTCACCCCAGCTCTGGCCCCCAGCGTGGGCAACTTCAGCTTCAGCCCACCCTCACCTGTGGCCGCCTCGCCTGCCTGTGCCTCTCGGCTTAGCCCCACGTCCAGCTCAAGCTGGGGCACTGTTACAGTGGGCATCTTGAAGACACCCTCACCCACCAACAGCTCTCCACCTGCAACCTGGGTTCCAGGCAGAGACAGGGTCACCTGGGGCACCTGGACCCTGTAGCCTGCTGTGCCCTCTGCTGAAGGGGCTGTACTCTCAGCCTGATGCCCTGGGGTACCCACCTCCCCAAAGCCAGTCAGCTCTACCTGGGGCAGGGAGATGCCCAGCGGAGGCATCCTCAGCCCTGCCTCATGGCCCTCAGTGACCACCTGCTTGGCTGTGGACACCTGCAGCCCTGACAGCTGCATTCCACTGACGGCCACCACCCCCTCCGCTCTCCCTTCCTCCTGGGCGCCCAGCGTGACCAGCTCCACCTCAGGGATCTTAAGCTGCACAGTGGTGGACTCAGTCTTTTCTCCCGGGCTGGCACGCTCACCTTGAACTTCTGCTTCCTTCCCTCGAGCCAGCCCAAAGGAGGGCATCTTCAGCTTGGGCATCTTCACCTTCCCGTCCCAGCCCCAGCCCTTGCCCTCCAACTCAGCCACCCCCGGCACCAGTTCTGCTGCCTCAGTGTCCCGGCCTCTGACCCCAAACTTGGGCAGAGCAAACCTGGGCCCCTTGAACTTGAGGTCAGCCCCTGCCACCTCTACCTTGCCTGAGGGCAGGTGGGTATCCAGGCTGAGCTGTGGGATGGACAGGTCGAGGGCGGGCAGCAGGCCTGCCTCTCCGGCCCCTTTGGCCTCAGCCTCAGCCCCTACCCGAGGCTTGGGGAGCGAGATGGTAAACTTGGATACCTTCCGCTTGGTGGCTCGCCCAGCCCCCTCAGCCTCTGCCTTGGCCACCTTTGGCCCTGAGAGTCCAAACTTGGGCAAGGAGAACTTGGAAGAGGGCTTGACTTTCATC